ACACTTACCGTTTGTGTTAATAAAATAAATATCCAATAGCTAATTATCAACTAAAGGGACGTTGCTGTAATTGGGGATACATACGGGGATAACTACATACTGAGAAATTTGTGACAGTTTGAAAGGCGGTGGAATAGCCAGGTGGTTAAAGCGTTCGCTAGTCACGCCGAAGACCCGGGTTCTATCCCCCACATGGGTACAATGTGTAAAGCCCATTTCTGGTGTCCCCTGCCATGATATTGCTTGAATATTGCTAAAAGCGGCGTAAAATGACACTCACTCATCGTTACAGTTTGTTGGATTGATAGGAGATTGTAAGAAGGGAGAAATAAACTAGGTGATGATGGACAGAAGGATGATGGGAGGATGGACAGATACTTCTTGACGATGGATTGACTAATGGAAAAATGATGGGTAGCTGGTGGGACGTTACGAAACCTGCAGAGGCTTGATTGTCGGAAGATGGTGGTGAAGAGATCAGAGGGATAATGGATTGTTAGTGACTGGATGGGTGCCCTGAAGACTGGGAGGATGTTAGATTTCATTAAAGGGATGAATAGATGGTTTATAGACTGACTGGAGTTAGCCTTAGTTCTCAGTTGTTAATTATTTCTCGCTTGATAATTTCTGTTATTTTAGTTTTACGAAATCATGAAAGAAACGCTAATTTGTTGGTGATATTGTTGTCAGTTGTGAGCGACACGTATATATTTTTCTCATAGCAAAAGGATGCTTCCTTTGTCCAGGACAGAACACAACTTGGGTGGACTCGTGGTAGACGAACATAAGGCTTAACCAAGCATGTTGTAACACACAACACTACCCGCCACATACCCTTCGTTTCGGCTGACTGCACCCCATCCCCTCCCCGAGATCTGGTGGGTCTGTTCTTCACACTGGGTTGTAATCAGCTTCCCAGGGCGTGGAAACCCTGACCTAATCAGCACGGAAAGTTTTGGAGACAGGTAGAACGAATGACTCATAAAGAAACCGGGTATTCTTACATTTCACCCCTTTTTGTACTTAGCTCGTTAACTAATCACGGGGACTTGAATTGTGAACAGATATTACCAAAGACAGGTTTCAATACTCATGAGGTTTTGCGCCATACTGTAAACATACAGATGTATGGATTTGGGTGGGATGGATGGATGGATCGATGCGTGATGCATGGATGGATGGATTTGGGTGGGTGGATGGATGGATGGATGCATAGAGATGGATGGATGGGTGATGAAGTGTGTGTTGAGATGATTGATAACGCCATGAGAAACATTCGATAGTATTACCATTGACTGATAACAAACTGCAAGAATGCGTGCAAGTATGGGTCAATGGTCACAGTTTATCTCACAGCGTTACTACCACCTTCTGAACGGTGTAGACACTAACATTCCTTTCCTCTGACATTATGAAATACTCCATTGATGTTCCCATTATCTCGTTCTAACCCGGATGTGCGGTGTTCACGCACCACAAAACCTATATGAAGCTGACACTGACCGTCAGAGAAGTGTAACTCAAGCACGTAATCGCCGCTATAGTTTCTATTCTATGTTTTCTAGGAAGTAAAAGATACCGATCGCTAATATACATTGTATATGTGTTACCAGTGTAGCAACTGATGAAGGTGCGGTCGATGTTGAAATACATGTTGGGTTTATTGTTGTACAAGGATGTTGTTGGTGTTAAACCGATCACACTTTCTTCATTTATTCACCCAACAGGTGCTTGATTGTATGGTTTTTTTAAAAAAACAACATATATTTTAAGTCACGTTATCTATGATAGAATGTATTGGTATTTAGAGACCGATGACGTTGTTTATGTTATATTCATAATTATCATACCATACGACATACAATGTTATGGCCAGATAAACTGATATGCCAATTATGCTGATTCGAGGGATTAAATGACAGTCAACATCTTGCTCAATACACACGAACTGGTCCATTTGTCCAAAAGAGTAATACGCTCAAGTAAATCTCCAAAAATATAGTTTTTGTAATCATAATTTCCACCGCCCATAGTTTTTTTAAAGTACGAATTATAGTGTGCAAAATGTTACCATGTACCATGTATCAAGATGTGCAGAGTCGATAAAACCTGTGTTAAACAATGCAACATGTCGGATGCGTATCTTACAACACAGCACATGTTCCTTGGTTTTGACAAGCTCGACAATAACTATGAATAAGGTACATACGAAAATATACAGGATGTGCGTTTGAACCCTGTAACGCCACCAGCGTGACGTCACAATTCCTGACAAGACAAGAATATTAACTTCCTGATTTGTATAACTCTCATCCGGTTTTTTCTTGTGTTTCCTACAGTTTTCAACAAGAGTATGAAATGAACTACAGAAACTACATATTTGATTCTTTTCAGAGAACCCATATTGGACTGTATTGGCGATGTCTTCACTTGAATCATAGGTATGTTATCACAATTGATACCTCTGAGTCGACTGAATGATGAGAGGGTTCCAAATGACTGTGTGATATCCATTTACAGTACCCATACGGACTGGTTCACCTTACCAAAACAAAACCGACTGGTTCACCATACAGGTACGGACTGGTTCCATGACGACTGGTTCACCTTACCAAAACCGACTGGTTCACCACAGAGGTACGGACTGGTTCCATGACGACTGGTTCACCTTACCAAAACCGACTGGTTCACCATACAGGTACGGACTGGTTCACCTTACCAAAACCGACAGGTTCATCATACATGTACGGACTGGTTCCATGTAGACTGGTTCACCTTACCAAAACCAAAACCGACTGGTTCACCATACAGGTACGGACTGGTTCCATGACGACTGATTCACCTTACCAAAACCGACTGGTTCACCACAGAGGTACGGACTGGGTCGTCATATCCATACGGCTTGGTTCACCGTACCCATACGGACTGGGTCGTCATATCCATACGGCTTTGTTCACCATACCCATACGGACTGGGTCGTCGTATCCATTCGGCTTGGTTCATCGTACCCATACGGACTGGTTCATCGTACCCATACGGCTTGGTTTACCCTACCCATACGGCTTGGTTCATCGTACCCATACGGCTTGGTTCATCGTGCCCATACGGCTTGGTTCATCGTGCCCATACGGACCGGTTCATCGTACCCATGGGCCATACGGCTTGGTTTACCGTACCCTTTCGGACTGGTTCACTGTATCCATGTGTGGACTGGTTCATCGTACCCGAACAGACTGTTCGTTTCTGACACAACCATCCACTGGAGTGCCTGTATTCGCCCCAGTTATTTACAAACCAACATGAATGCGGCATTAAACAGCATTAACACTCAGAAACACACCAGACGCAAGAAATTCAAATAGAGTAGTAATAGAAAATTCTGGTGTTTAAGTGTCTATAGTTATCACGACAATACACCCACGAACGACAAAACGTCCTGTTCAGCCACGCTGGCACAGCCGAGAACATGCTGGACATACGACGGCCGCCTGCATGGCGCGTGAACGTGATTGGCGGCTGTGGGTACTTTCATGAGGTAATAAACCCTCGAGAGATGACATATAGGATAGGTCGCCTTTGTCAGCCACTCGAGATTGTATCTGTGGCATGTAAAGCGTGGCTTGTACTGGTGCATGTACCTAGCGTCTAGATGTCGCTCCATGCGCAAAATAGAGTGTGTGAGTGAGTTTAGTGTTACGCCGCACTCAGCGATTTTCCACCTATATGGCGGCGGCTCAAAATAAAGAATTTTAAAAACACTAAACTGATTTTAAGTACCATTAGGATTACAAACTGCATACTTGAGCAACAAGATACTTTTGTATCTTGTGTTAGTCAAGATATTGTCAGTTAAAAAGTTGATATTCCCCTGAAGATGATTTGATTTAATTAAAAAGTGAGAAAGCGGAATGTTAGCCTCCCGCTGTGTAATGTACACACATTCGACTCGCTAGTGAGCATCCTTTTAAAATATGTTTTGATATGATGTATACGTGTACACTTACTCATATTACCCAGGGACAATATGACATGATTCTATCCATGCAGAGTAGTTAATTGTTAGAAGAGTAGCAAAGGCACGGTGGTGGTGTTCTCGCATGAGATAAAATATTTTTTTGAAACTTATGATTGGCAAACAGAAAGTTCTAGTATAAAGGTCCACAGTTCGGGGTGTAACTACCAACCAAATAATGAATGAGTTTAGATTTACGCCACACTCAGCAATATTCCAGCTATATGGCAGCGGTCTGTAAATAATTTTAGTCTGGACTTGACAATCCAATGATCAACAGCATGAACATCGATCTACGCAATTGGGATACGATGACATGTGTCAACTACATAAACAGGGCGCATACAAACTGCAGGGTGTCGTAGTATGTCCAGTGGGTTAGAGTGGTTTCACCAATGACAATGATGAAGATACCATGGCCTTCAAAAGTTGTACCCATTTGGTGACCGAGTGAACTCCTTTACCATAAGGCTACCCCACGGGGGTTCTTACTTACAGTGGATCTGCTTTTAAATGAGGGTAAGGATAACGAAGCCTATATCTCATGATTGGCTCTATATCTCATAGTTCTGATCCATTACTCTCTTGCTAAAGTAGTCGGATGGGTGCTCTATACATAACGTTAGACACTGACAATGAACACTACCAAAAAAAACAATTAAATGGGTCTGCTCCCGCTGATAGCTCGTTCGGATGTCCCCACACAACTTAAAACGCTACGTCACAATGTCATAAAGGGCCAAAGTGACGTCATTAAGAAAAAAATACCAAGCTTTGAAATGTATTATGACCAAGCCTGCTGATGGCGGGCTTCGTCGCCGAGCTCGAACCCTATTGCTGATAGTGGTGCGGGCTGGGTGATAAATCAGGGATATACCTTACACAGGTATGTCACTCACACCTTGAGCTAAAAATAGGGCCTATGGAAACTCCCGGACTTCACAATATCCGTCTATCCGCAGCAGTGCTGCCGTCATATGTAAATTGATATTCAAATGAGCTGTGCTATATGTTTCTACAGACCAAGTCGCGCTTCAGTTTGAGTTGACTCGTGGTGATGACACTTTGTGGGACTGGGGATATATTCTAAACTATGACAACACAAAGTGGAACGTCTGGATACTGGAAGTGATGCAAGGCCAAGAATACTTACAGATGGCAGATCAACATGATGCTGCCGAGTTCGAATGTTTGGACACAGAAACCATTCTGGAATGGCTGACTCAAAGACATAAGCATAAACGCCCATATGTAAGTGGAATCAGTTTTCTTTGAGTCATCTTTCCACTGATGCTTACTGATGTACAAATATAAAATGTATAAGCTATAATAGTTGAATCGTAGACATCAGAATACATGCAATGAGAAGATATAGAATACCTTGCAAGCTACTGAATGATACATGAAATGACGTATAAATGTTCGACATAATGTATATGGGCACAATGTTGTATGAACAACGTTTGTGAAAGTTTTCTTTAATCTGTATGTGCCTGTTGCCATCGGGGTAGTAGTATGACGATGGAGATTCTGGCTCACTTCCGCTCATGGCGTTATTTCTGGCTAATTAAGCTTCCAGCAGTCTCTAAAAATCGAAGCCCACGAGCATGACCATCGTTGGATGTCTCTTGTATGAAAGGTCGAAACCTTTAATTTGATGTTTTTAATTTTTTTTAAATAACCGTTATAGCTAGCGATTATATTATGGATTGGGTCTGACATAAATTGACCCCTGGGTTGGTTTGGGTTAGGGGCAGGTTACGCTCCCCTTTCGCAAACACTTGGTATCGCTACTATTTAAATGTGATTTAAAACATGGTATGGTCGGACAATAAAAACAGACTGGTTTTGTCGCGTTTAATACCAAACGTACGTCTTGTCGGAAATTTAGAATTTTACATTAGCGTCATTTGATTGTGAAATCTGTTGTGAACTGAACTTCTCCATGAAGACACTTTATCACTGACATAAAAATATGATTACATCGAAGCGCAGTTGTAATGTCCGTGTTTGCTGACCACTTATCTCTTACATCAAAAAAGTCGGTTACATGATTTGGACACTTAATATCACGTAAACAAAACACTTCAATATCTATATTAGACTATAGTGTCGGTAGGGTTCGTTTTAAACGGTATTCCGATTTAATTGGTTTTGAGTCTCATGCTGTTCAATATGTGACAAATAAATGCATTTGTGTATGAATGTTTATCTTTTTTCCCTTCCATTCGAACAGGGTTACATTGGAGATTCACTCGTGGCAGTGAATCCGTGTCAGCGACTGGATATCTATAGTCAAGAGGTGCGTCCAGTATTTGTACTATGATATATTTCGAAACAAACAGGCAATAGTCACATGTATCACATCCACTATAACGGCCATAAGGGACGATTTATAATTTATGGCGGGTCGGGGTGGGGGATGGTGATGATTTTAAGGAGGGGGGTCACCCATTTTGTTCTGAGGAGGTGGGGGGCATCAGGTTTGTACACATTAACTAAGGTGGTCGTCATTGATTTTGTACATGGGGGTGGGGGCACTTACTTCGTTCAGAAAATTGAAGGGGAGGGTCATTCACATTGTACATACTTCTCCATAAATATCATCATCACACACCCCACCCCAGCCCCACCCCACCCCTAGCCATAAATTATGAACGGTAGCTAACCAGGAAGTACGCACACAGACACATTTATACAGCACAAGCGTTCTTCAGCTGAGTTCAGATCCTGGGCCCAGTGCAAAGAGGAGTTGGTAACACAACTACCATCGTTTAACAGCTATATGAGCATAGCGCTCTAGGAGTTCGTAACACAACTACCATCGTTTAACAGCTATATGAGCATAGCTCTCTAGGAGTTGGTAACACAACTACCATCGTTTAACAGCTATATGAGCATAGCTCTCTAGGAGTTGGTAACACAACTACCATCGTTTAACAGCTATATGAGCATAGCGCTCTAGGAGTTGGTAACACAACTACCATCGTTTAACAGCTATATGAGCATAGCTCTCTAGGAGTTGGTAACACAACTACCATCGTTTAACAGCTATATGAGCATAGCGCTCTAGGAGTTGGTAACACAACTACCATCGTTTAACAGCTATATGAGCATAGCTCTCTAGGAGTTGGTAACACAACTACCATCGTTTAACAGCTATATGAGCATAGCGCTCTAGGAGTTGGTAACACAACTACCATCGTTTAACAGCTGTATGAGCATACCGCTCTAGGAGTTGGTAACACAACTACCATCGTTTAACAGCTGTATGAGCATAGCGCTCTAGGAGTTGGTAACACAACTACCATCGTTTAACAGCTGCATATGGAGCTGTATGAGCATAGCGCTCTAGGAGTTGGTAACACAACTACCATCGTTTAACAGCTATATGAGCATAGCGCTCTAGGAGTTGGTAACACAACTACCATCGTTTAACAGCTGTATGAGCATAGCGCTCTAGGAGTTGGTAACACAACTACCATCGTTTAACAGCTGTATGAGCATAGCGCTCTAGGAGTTGGTAACACAACTACCATCGTTTAACAGCTATATGAGCATAGCGCTCTAGGAGTTGGTAACACAACTACCATCGTTTAACAGCTATATGAGCATAGCGCTCTAGGAGTTGGTAACACAACTACCATCGTTTAACAGCTATATGAGCATAGCGCTCTAGGAGTTGGTTACACAACTACCATCGTTTAACAGCTATATGAGCATAGCGCTCTAGGAGTTTGTAACACAACTACCATCGTTTAACAGCTGTATGAGCATAGCGCTCTAGGAGTTGGTAACACAACTACCATCGTTTAACAGCTGTATGAGCATAGCGCTCTAGGAGTTGGTAACACAACTACCATCGTTTAACAGCTATATGAGCATAGCGCTCTAGGAGTTGGTAACACAACTACCATCGTTTAACAGCTATATGAGCATAGCGCTCTAGGAGTTGGTAACACAACTACCATCGTTTAACAGCTATATGAGCATAGCGCTCTAACGAACGGGCTTTATGAACGTTTTCAAGTCAAGACGATTTCTAGACTTACAGATGGAAACTACGTTTTTTTTTGCTTTTCAAACAGTGAACATTGAATATACTTTCAAAGGGATATCAAATTCGTTTGTTGAGAAGTCAGTTAAAGGGATCCTTCTGATGCTCCTATGTTGAAACTTCAATAAGTTGAAAAGCTGATTGTTATGCACGACGCTGCTCTGCATCATCATCATCATCATCATCATCCTTCTCAGGTGACTGAATGTATGCAATTGCTGCATTTTGATTGTAAATGGTCAATTCATATCTGAGTTAGTACTTACAGGCTATCTATCTTCGGATAATTCGAAAATCGTGACATGCCGTTCCTTTTCACCTATGTTACACTGAAGCGTTCCCGAAGTTCGACATGCTCTTGCCCAAGCATAAGAGCTTCATATTTTCTGTACATATACACTCTTTCACAACTCTTTCGCTATTTCTTATATACACTCTTTCTCAACTCCTTCGCTATATCTTAATTATTTTCTGTTCATGAACTTGTATACAAATCTGTCCAAATGGTTACGGTTCCGTAAGCGTCAACCTCGCTTTTCACCGTTTATTTCAAATATTTTGAAAAAGCAGTATTAACAGTGATACTATTTTGTCAGTAGACAAGAAGTTGCTACAAACTACTACATTGTATTCTACGTGAAAGAGAATATGGAAATGATTAACAACTCTTCGACCCATTTATGTGAGGATTTCATAACACATGTCATTAAATGTCTAAAAAAAGTTCAAATTATTATTATTATTGTCCCTGACACTAGTTTGTAAGCTCCATACAGTGGTGGTGGGTTTAAGTAACCATGTTATTACTAGATATCCTGTAGAGACAGGCGGATGTTCTAACATTGAATAGCAGAATAAGTAGTCGCTGTGGTAAATTGCATTTCTTGCTTGTCTGTTCATCACAAAATAATCAACAAAAATCTTTTAGATATTTTGGACAAATCCCACGCTTGAAAAATAACTAAAATCTAATTCATCCTGTGATGTTAAACTCTCTAACGATATGAAAAAGTGTCTGTGTTTGTTTTTACTTGTAGACTAAACTACTTTCATAGGGAAAACTCTTATAACGAATATAACGAATATAACGAACTGTAATACTTTTCGGCCCGGACGGTTTTTGTATGTTTAGTTAAAATGCGCAAAACAAACTTCGGTTACATGGAACTAAAATAGAAGTACCTTTATGTTCGTTATAACGTATAACGTTCGTATATTCGTTTGTTGCACATATAACTATGTATGCCGAATGTTATCGAGTATATTCCCAGTGTCACTATCCTTGAATTTTAGAACATTTGTTTCTATTCTGAAACATTAAGCAGACACGTTGTAAGGTAATGAATACATGCCATTAAATCATTCCGTTATTCTCCTAGGACAATGAGAAATACACCAACCTGCGGGTGCGGAGCCAGCAGCCCCCTCACATCTTCTGGGTGGCTGACCACGTGCACCAGTCCATGGTGGAGAGTCAGGATGACCAGTGCGTCGTGGTGTCCGGGGACTCAGGCGCCGGCAAGACAGAGTCCACCAAATACATCCTCAGCCATCTGGTCAGGCGGGAGAGCACCAAGTCAGACCTTGTGGAAAGACTAGAACGGGTAATTTCATTACCATTATTAATTACCACTGATCATTCTCATTATCAAAATTTATTTACTATTATCACCACTTTCATCATCGTCATCATCATCATCCCTCGGTTGGGGCTGTTTGGGATTGGCTTTCTTTAATTATCTTTATCATTGTTATTTTTATTATTTTATATTTTCTTATTTTTGGTTTTTATCCCAACATCGAAGTTTGTACGACCTGTGTTTGTTCCGGGTTACCTCCCCGCGAAGAATCAGACTGTGTTAAACTGAAATACTTTTCAAAGTGTGGCTAAACCAAACTCACGCACGCACGACATTTATAGTTTTCTCGTGTTGAGTCCGCGGAGACGAGATTACTACGCTAGGATTCGGGTGGTTGTATACCACGATAACCCTTCCGGTCACAGGGAAACATGCACCCGTGGTTAATGGAGGCTAGGGTTGGTTTAAGGCCGCACCCACACTCGATTATTTCCAGACCGCAGCCATATATAGCTGATTTGTTTCAAATGTTCAACCTTGCACTGAACTAGCATGCATTATTAGGCACGAATGAGGAAGTTAGGCGGCTTTCTCAAATAAAATGATACATAATTCGCCTCTCACTGCCACCATTATGCATGAAATGTTTTACAGTATATTTCAGTTTTTGAGAGTAAATGTATTCTCCCAAGTAAGATGAGACATGTTAACCATACCTGGCAGGTTTCTTGACATCTGACGACTGCTATGATTATCTTTAAAGTTTAGGTATCTCAGTGTAAATGTATTTGATAGTTATTCATAAACATAAGCTTTTTTGGATAGGGAAAGGATTTTGTTGCTAAATTATACGGTTTGACTGGTTTCAAATGTTAAACGGTACACTGAACTAACAATACAGTTAACATGCATTATTAAGGGTGAATTAGGAAGTAAGGCGGCTTTCTCAAAGAAAAGGACACATAATTCACCTCTTACTGACACCATTATGTATGACATTTTTTCCAGTATATTTCAATGTTCCAGAGTAAATGTATTCTCCCAAGTAAGATGAGACATGTTAACCATACCTGGCAGGTTTTGGATATGTGACGACTGCTATGAATATCTTTAAAGTTTAGACATCTCAACGTAAGTTGAATAGTCGTGTGGGTGTAAGTGTCACGTAGTTGACAAGGTTTGAGTTATTGGTAGTAGGCAAAAACTGCTTCTGACTCCTGCTTGGTATAACAATTAGATTGAAAACAACCTTTTTAACATCTTCCGTAGTGTTGGTTGATTGGTTGGTTTGTCGTTTAACGCCGCACTCAGCAGTTTTCCAGCTATTCGGCGGCGGTCTGTAAATAATCGAGTTTGGACCAGACAATCCAGTGATCAGAATTATGGGCATCGATGTACGCTTGACCACCCTATCCCGTTAGTCGCCTCTTACGACAAGCATGGGTTACTGAAGACCAATTCTAACCCCGATCTTCACGGGTTTCGAGACATGCTGTAATTTCGCAGATTGCCACGCTTTCTTTCTCTGAATTTTTATTTTTGAAAAAACATGGTTGCCATGGTTATATTACCCAATGTCAAAGTTGATCTAACACATATAAGATTCTGAAATGCATCATCTATATATAAACATATATATACATTTAGCAAAACCCGATTCAAATTCATTGTACATTTTACTTTTCAAAACTGACATCAAAGGAGCATAGGTTAAGTCAAAACCTATATCACGATAACAACCTTTAACCTGTACATGTACAAATATCGTGACACACAGCTAATCATCCTCCTGATTTTAGGTCAACCCTCTTCTGGAACTCTTCGGAAACGCAGCAACTGTTCTGAATTCCAACTCCAGCCGTTTTGGAAAGCTTGTTGAGCTGGAATATGAGTCGACGGGCTGCCTTAGTGCCGGTGAGTACCAGGGGGAGGTCAAGACGATATTACCTTGTAGTATCAGAGATAACATTGTCTTAATGCTTCTACATATCTATAGTCGACATACGTTTGTGGATGTCAATTTGTCATGATAGCAAACCATTGCTCTGACAATATATACAAACCTTATCTTAATGGCAAATAGTTAGTGGGACACCGGGCTGCCCTTACTGCCGGAAAGTCTATATTGTAAATATTATGTAAACGATAATCACCGTTAAGTACATACTTAAGGGAATAAAAGGACATCGGATATGTTAAAACCAACGCACCGAAATCTATCGACTGGTTCACAGCTCCCTACAAAATCCCAACATGTTTGGCCATTGAACCGTGATACTTTTTCTAAACAAGTACGTTCAACCTGTCAGTTCACACAACCTGAGTTACAATGACTTATACTGATCTGTTCTGATATGACGAAATATTATTGGAATATTTTACTTACTTTTTCTCTGAAATGTGTCAACATGTTGAGATTTTTCAATTTTGCAGTTAAATGGGATTTAGATTTGACATTTAATGTAGTTTTGTGTTATAACACAACGGGGATCGAGCTTACGTTTAGGCTGGGTCCGGTTTTAGTTATTTAAAATCCATTAATAACAATTGTACCATTTATGATTGCAAAGCATTTCGCAAAAAGGGTTGACTTGTATTTCAAACTTCTCTATTCTTTAAATGCGGGGTTTGGGTACACGTCGACAGTGTCTTCTATGATATCACTGCATCTAAACTGCGATTCGCATTTTTTAAATCACTATTACCAAATCAACTAAACAGCGTATACAATGACCAGTCACAAACTCGTTCAGTACACTATTTTTAACGTGAAAGTATCGTTATGTGGATAGAATACATTGTGGAAATTTGCATTTCTAATAAGAGAACAATTGTGACTAACAAAACAATGTCACGCGGACTTGTTAGTGAATGTTGCCAACAACATTTGAACGCCAACGAACAAAAAAATTCTTGTTATAACTGATTACTTTCCCACTCTCCCTGACCCTCAACACCCCGTGACCTGATCTCCGATTACGCCAACACGTGAGTCGTTACGTGGCCGGTTACGTGGCCGCTGTCATGTTTCTAGGCACGTAAGCCATGTTCTATTGAAGAGTTTGTTAAATTCATTATAATTCCGAACGGCATGTTTGGACACTATTATTTATGTGGTAATACATTAAACTTGGGGATTTTTATAGTTAATTCACCTTTCAAATTCTGTTTGTTTTGTCCCGATTTATACGTTTCTAAGGGACACGTGATTGTGTGAAATTGTTTGATTGTTATCTGAAGTGTTTATTGCTTAGTGTTTATCACATTCTGTCAAATCTCGTCAATTCGGAAAGAATCCAGACCTCCGTGAAGAAAAAAATGTCAATACTCTGTATGGGCGTCGAGGTAGCCTAGGGGTTAAAGCGTTCGCTTGTCACGCCGAAGACCCGGGTTCGATTCCCCACATGGGTACAATGTGTGAAGTCATTTCTGATATCCCCCGCCGTGATATTTCTGGAATATTGCTAAAAGCGGCGTAAAACCATACTCACTTCCTCAATATTCTTTATAAGCCTCATATTTATCCAGATTGTTTATAACGACACATTACTATTTTTATTTCTTTGAGCGTTCAACGACGTACAGTTCTAAAATCAGAAACAGAATTTCTCTACAATAAAATATCGCCACAACAATTAATTTTGACAATTAACTATCCCAGTGATACTATGATCTAATATCGATGCTCAGTTTCAAACTGCATAATGCGAAACATATATGACATTCCAGAGAATCATTCCAGAGAATTTCTAGTAAGCGGAGTTTCACTGTATTTAGTTAACCAGGATGTGACTCTAGAAATAAGTATTCAGGAATGTAAACAGACCCTACCGGGTTAAATTATCCCCTGTAAGACCCCGGATTGGTACTCGGTGTATTTTGTAATAAAGCGTTTTACTTAACCCTAACATAACATGGAGCAATGTGCTGTAAAAAATCCAATCTGTGTCGCTCTACCACGTGACAGGTCTCATTGTGTTAGCCACCTGCAGATGAACTAAATTTAAATTTTAAATTGAAATAACACGCCATCGTGTATGTTTCCTCAAAAACACCACAAGTAAAAGTTATGCATATGGGTGTCTTAGGTCAGTATGTCAGCGACTAGTGGTATGTATCCCTGTTGATTTTGTCCGACATTACAAATGCTTTATAAGTCCACCCAGAATCAATACCCCTATGTAAGCAGCGAAGGCCTAGAAGTGGGTATATGATATGATAGGTATACACGACAAGAGGGTACGTACGGGTGGACGGATGGGTGCACACACCAAATACCGCTTACATTTTCCACTGTCGAATAGGCACATAATTCAACTACATATGAGTGAGGTGGGCTTACGTCACTTTCAATAATATTTGAGCAGTATCATATCAAGGGACGCCAGAATGGGCTTCATACAATGTGCCTGTATGTGATTTAGTATAACATGAGAAGGAGGTCTTTCTTAACACAGCAACAAGCATGTGGATGCTGTTGTCTTAAAGGGGAGTGCAGCATGAACGAAGTCTATTGGTAATCGGACCGGTACACATTCAGTCCCAGAAAACATTTAACATATGAAAAAGATCCACAAAAAAGTACAACGATATACAAATGAAGCCATGAACAGTTGTTAATATCAATATAATTGGGGAAGTCTATACTAGCTCGAGTAATCTAGACTAGACTTGGACTCCTTGAGTGTATATTTTAGGGTGTAGGAATTATGTTGTTGGTGGGCCAGTGCTTTTATCTACAGAACTTTTACCTCAATTTAGCCTTTTACGCCCCAACCTGCCTCTGGCGATAATCGAAATTCTCTTGAAATTTAACATCATCGTTACATTGGTTTTGTCTGTTATTGTAGAGATCAATCCCAAGTTTTCGTTTTGACATGTGGTGTACTTCCAAGGCTAGACTGGACAGGGGTATAGATGTGGTCACAGTCTTCATTTAAAGGATTGTAGCATGCAGTCAGTCTGCTGTAAATAGTCATATAAAGTAATATATAACAATAAGACTTAGATAGGATACAAGAATGAAAAATGCATGTGTCACAAGTGAGGAAATTAGATAGGTCAGTGTGGATTTGTTAATGACTGCAACCTACTTCACGTCAACAGAAAAAGGACACTACAGAAAAACCCGTGAAGGTCCGGGTTAGAATTGATCTACAGTAACCCACGCTTGTCGTAAGAGGCGACTAACGGGATCGGGTGGTCAAGCTCATTGACACGTGTCATCGTATCCCAATTACGTAGATCGATGTTCACGCTGTTGATTACTTGGATGTCTGGTCCAAACTCGATCATTTACAGACCGCCGCCATATAGCTGGAACACTGCTGAGTGCGGCGTAAAACAACAAACCAACCAACACTACAGAGGATTTAAAAAAAAATTGTTTTCTATCTAGTTGTTATACCAAGCAGGTGTCAGAAGCAGTTTTTGCCTACTACCAATAACTCAAACCTTGTCAACTACGTGACACTTACACCCACACGACTATTCAACTTGCGTTGAGATGTCCAAACTTTAAAGATATTCATAGCAGTCGTCACATATCAAAAACCTGCCAGGTATGGTTAACATGTCTCATCTTCCTTGGGAGAATACATTTACTCTTGAAAATTGAAATATACTGTAAAAAATGTCATACATAATGGTGGCAGTAAGAGGTGAATTATGTGTCCTTTTCTTTGAGAAAGCTGCTTTACTTCCGAATTCGCCCCTAATAATGCATGTTAACTGCAAGTTAGTTCAGTGTACCGTTTAACATTTGAAACCAGTCAAACCGTATAATAAAGCAACAAAATCCTTTCCCTATCCAAAAAAGCTTATGTGTATGAATAACTATCAAATACATGCGAATGGCGGAATATACAAGTCATTCAAAGGCTCAAGAGATTGTAACGTTATCACAACCTGGTGGCAAGAGCTCTTACCTCGTCACTTCATAACCTACTTTTACATGTGCATAGCGTTGTCACGCAACAGGGAGTGTTTGCAGATAGTAGTTACTTGAAAGGGTTAAAAATTGTTGACACTTCCAGATGCACCCTAATTGATATTTTGGGTGGGGGTGTTTGGAGGGAGAGGTAAGAGGTGGGGTGATGAGATGAGGTTTGGGGTGAGACTAAACTCCCCAAAAACTTTAAGAAGAAAGTTGTGTAGTATCACTAAATTGCTTCATACAAAACGAGTGAGTGAGTGAGTTCAGTTTTACGCCGCCTTTAGCAGTATTCCAGCAATATCTGGGCGGGGGACACCGGAAATGGGCTTAACACATTGTACCCATCGAACCCGGATCTTCAGCGTGACGAGCGAACGCATTTTCCACTAGGCTACTCCACCGCCTCCCGGACAAAAGAACATGTACTGCCATTTCTTATTCTGGCTAGAAAGCAACAAACACAAAGTACTTATTTTATTGGATGTATTTAATACGGGTCATTCTCTTCCCACTGAGGTTACTTGCCATATCTTCCTACGAACCTCTGTTCTAATACGGCCCTTTCATGGTGCGAGTGTTCAGGATTCGTGATTGGTTGCAATCAGATTTAGTTGTGCAGTCAGCGACGTTGTTTCAAAAGTTATCATTTGCAAGGCGAATAATATCCGTATGTTCCGGGAAAACTAGAACCTCTTCGACTGCGCGATGCTCAAACGTTTCTTCTAGACAGAACTCAGTCATGTAATGGCGGATCAATGGCGTCTCCATCGCCCTCGTTGACAACGGACAAGCTAGCCATTCAATGTCTTGTGTGTCACATCAACATAAGTCATCGGCAGAGGAGAGATATTTGTGGCCCCATATTTGCTTGCATTAGTCAAGTTGGATCTAAGTCGATGTAACATGTGTTCTGATTGGATAGAAAGAAGGGAGATAATTCGTTTTACGATTTTTTGCCGGTAAGGGATTTTACGAGGACTGGGAAATATGGCCGTGTTAGAACTGAGGTTCGTAGGAAGATATGACAAGTAACCTCTGTGGGAAGAGAACGGATACGAGTGTCACAGCTGTGTCCTCTGCTTTAAGATTGCAGTATTTCGACGACTGTTTCAAGCCTAGTAACTTTTGGAAGACATGTGTAAAACATAGTTTTTCGATGTATCCTTTCTTTTGAAGGGCGATTGTATATTACCTTCTAGTAACTACACCATAATGGGTGATACGGCATTATGGTAAGAATGTCTAAAAATGAGATCAGACACGAAGACCAAAGAGACCATTAAAATAGCATATCTGGGGATTTTTTGGAAGGTTTCTCAATAATATTGTACAACTACCTTTTTTATTTTGCAGCTAAAATAGAATGTTTTATCCTCGAAAAGTTCCGAGTAACAAGTCGGAACCGCCATGAAAAGAACTTCCACGCCTTCTACGCCGTTTTCGCCGGGATGCCCTCTCGCAGACTTGATGCCCTCAATCTTGAAGCTAACGCTGCGTTCTACAGGTAAGTAAATTAAAATAATCACAACAAAGTCATTTAACAGAAAACTGATCAAACCAAAACCTTTTTCGTCTCATAAGGTGTGTGGTTTACGTGGATCTTACTCCATTTTCCTGTACTAGTCAGTCCGTTCCACTCGCTACATCACTTTAAACAGATTTCGGAGACAAATCAGTATTTAACTAACACAACATAAATTGTATGTCATGTATCGTATTCGTCTCAAAGGCTTTTGGTCTATGTGGATCCGACTTTCTTGTACCATTGAATGTTTTTTTTTATACTTTACCGTCGTTGATCATAATTGCACAGACTTGTCTATTTTTCTCCGTGTGTGAAAAAGATGTTTACGTTCTTTGAACAAACTTTGAAAAAATTGAAAATTCAGGATACTCCGGTCGGATGATGGTTCTGATGACGTGTTTAACAGCGTGGAGGAGCAGAAAAAATACAAGCAATACTTTCTGGAGCTTGAAGCCATGTTACACGATGTCGGCTTCACAAAAGAGGTAAAGTAGATTCACAGTTATCAACCCTCTGTTAGACATAGTTCCTGAACCAATTTTGGACGTTGGCGTAGCCAGTGGTTAAAGCGTTCACTCATCGCGCCGAAGACCCAGTTTCGATTCCCCACATGGTTACAATGAAGTCAATTTCCGGAATAAAATTATACTTACAAACACACTGACTGACTGACTCACTCACTCACTGAACATCAGTTTAAAATGATTTCGGAAAGTGATAAGTACTTAACTTGAATTATTTAAGCAATACCTTTACATAAATTCTATCCCATGTATCGGGAAGTGAGACTACAACTGACATGTCCTTTGTTCAGGAAGTGGACCAACTGTACAAGGTGTTGGCCGCCATCTTGTTGATCGCCAACATTGAGTTCGACCAGGATGAGGATGGCAATGGCCACGCCGTCATCTCAGAGTTTTCAGAGGACGATTTGATCAAAGCGTCGGACCTTCTCGGCCTGAGCGGGGAGGAATACGACGACTTGCAGGAAGCCCTGACCTGTGTGAAGAGCAGAGCTGGAGGTGGGTGAAGTCAGCGACACAGACCCTACCTCTAACGTTGTAGGGCTCCCGTGTTCAGTGGTAGACACAGGATGCAGATACAGAGCAAAGATCTGAGCATCTTGTGTCACCAATGCATCACGTGTTTAGATAATGTTAAATCATACGTTTTACTAATATATATTGTTATAAATATTTGTTATCCAAACGTTTACATTTGCCTGTTTGTTGGTGTTGAACATCTTGCTAGGTTGTTTCACGAAAGTGATAAATTTCTTTCATCAGTCTTTCTTCCACATGCCGACATCCCGTTATAAATCTAAATCATTGTTCAAAAACCGCTTTCGACAATCAATCTTAATTTGAATATTGATATTTCAGCTGCCTCAAGGAACCCTCATCACAATTCGTCGTAATAGACACCAAAACATTTAATTCAACTCACTTATATCTAGATCTAGAACCGTGTTGTACGTTTGAACCTGATATAAGTGTTAGTATAATCTAAGATTTACAGGACAGCACTGTCTATCGCCAAGTAACTGTCAACCACGAAATATACTCATATCATATTGTCGTTTTCAAGATATAACGTTTACATCTAAATCCTTGCTAGTCGATTAAATGCTCTAGAGGTGTGACAGCGAGGCACAAACTCCATCATATGACTGAATGTTCCCGTTTCATCTGTCAGGCGAGGAAATGTTTCGATACAAGTCCCCACGCCAGGCTAACGACGGGCGGGACGCTGTCTCCAGGGAGCTGTATTCCTCTCTGTTCTATGGCATCATCGACAAGATCAACCAGAAGCTAGCGGGCTGTGTCCAGCCTCAGAGGAACACATATTACCATTTGTAAGTATCCATAGACGTTACAAATAAAGACAAATTTAATGGTGAACACTATCCTCACTAAACTATCAAGTGAGACCACGGTATACGGATCTGTACTGAAACGTCGCTGTTATAGTACAGTAAATAAACTGGTGTCGACTTTGAGTGTGAGTGAGTATGGTTTTACGCCACTTTTAGCAATAATCCAGCAAAATCACTGCCGGGGACACCAGAAATGGGCTTCACACAGTGTACCCATGTGCGGAATCGAACCCGGACCTTCGGCGAACGCTTTAACCACTAGGCTACCCCACCGCCCCATGTCTATTTTATCTTTCGTCAGCTAAGAAATTACCATCAATCCATTCTTCATACAGATGTTTGTTTTTAATGGTCCCTGCTTTATGTTTAATGAGTAATAAAATGTTATTGTCCAGTTAACAAGCCTAGTACTGCATTCTCGAAGAGACAACAAGGTGGGTTCAGATTCAGGTCTTTGAGTCACAAAGCCCCCCTAAAACTTTAAATTAATTTATCTTGACGCATTCATTTCGAAAGTAACAAACTATAATATTCATAATTAGGTGTAAAGGATATGGCGTGTGTGTTTGTTGTTTTCCGCTGCTTAATATTCAAGATATATGATGGCGGTATGTAAATAATCGAGTGAGATCCAGGAAATGTCACCCCTCAAACTACGCACGCTAATACGTTGTCTCTAACGACATGAACAGACTACTGAGCCAAGAACTAATTCTAACCCAGAATCTCCCCAGAGTAAAAAAAGTGCCAAATGTCTTGTCTTACTTCAGAACATTTTGTCATTTCAGAGAAAGCAAGAACACGTGCATTCGTATCCTGGACATCTCAGGTTTTGAAAACGTCGCCCACAACGGCTTCGAGCAACTCCTCATCAACGCTGCCAACGAGCGACTACACTCCTACTTCCTCAAGCACACATTCTGTAGAGAGAGGGATGAGTACGAGCAAGAGGAAGTTGACCTTATCCACGTCAGCTTCAAAGACAACACACCAATACTTGAACTCATATTCAAGGTACGTTTCCACTGACAGGAAGTCAGCCTCCTGCCAAGGCTACTGACTGAGACGATTTCAGGATTATTGGGGATAGCCCAAAGCTACACAAGGGACGAACTTCTATTACTTGCGTGATACCGGAGCATGACTGCGGCTCTGACGAATCATTGGTGAACATGGGATTCGAACCCTCAGGGCGTGAATAGCAATGAGTATGTTGGAATTTCATTCCACTGAAAGTCATTTCTTTCCCATTTTCATCAAAACTTCCATAAAGTATATTCAAAACGTTAAACCCAATTTCACCTCAACTCACCTCACTGAGCAGTACAGCTTTGGAGTTTTATATACACGTTCTCATGATTGGCATTATTTATCCAGAAACCTCACGGAATCTTCCCCCTCGTTGATGACCAGTTGTCGATCCCCCAATCCAGTGACAAGACGTTCCTGGAGACGGCAAACCGCTACAACAACGAGAACGACAAGTACGTCGTGTCAACCTCAGTGAAGTCACAACTACTTTTTGGAATCAAGCACTACGCTGGACAGGTAGGACCCTTCAAAGACATGATTACTGTTTGAATCCGAACCATCCAGATGACATATCTTTGTTCTTCATGCAAATAATGACAGTTCTTACTGACCTTTGCACCCCTTTATACGAGTGAGGGTCTCGGTGCTGCTCTGCTATTTCAGACACTTTTTGGGGTAGAAGATTCATGTTGAAGGATTTCTCACAGTAAGGCACTAAGTAGACATTTCCATTTGGTGTATCACGATTCTAGGATTCGTACTCATTTCCAGCGGCTCCTTCATAGCACAACTCTACACATACAGATACGATACCTAAGGGCGACCAGGCCCATAATGCCATTTCTTTTTTAATTTGTGTGAAGTATTTTTATTTTGCCATAATGCCATTTTGTCGAAGTAATGTTAAGGTTAAATCTTTAATATAGTAATTAATTTTAGGTGATGTACAACGCCCATGGGTTCCTGGAGAAGAACAGCGACACCCTTCCCAACAATCTTAAAGGAGCAATTGAGGAGAGCAGCAATATCTTTGTCCGGGACTACTTTCTCCTCGGCAGCAGAACGACGTTGTCTACAACCAGGTAAGTCTGGTGTGCGAACCAAATGTCGGGGTATTCACAATGATTAACAAATAACGAATCCTAGTTGTTTAACAACCTCAGTTTCATACACATTTTGGGGCTTTTTGCAATTATATTTTTTGTGACTGTTTCAGAGGGGGGCGAAGTTCACTGCGCCTGAAAGGAAACCGAAGTCGAGGCGCTATCCCATCATCGTGAGTGTACATAACGTGGGCTACAATAACGCGTTATCGCGATAGTTAGTGGTTTGGTTTAAAGGCACTTTGAACAGTATTTTAGCACACGGCGTGTCAGTTAGTTGCATATTCAGGACAAACAGGGATTCGAACCTTCTACCACATGGTGCTAACACGCCTAAGGGAGGCAACTCTGCAAGGCGAAATGTAGTCCTTGGTTGTTTGGATCAGATAGTGTTTAAGCGACTTTTCGCAGGTATATAATGTACAACGCTGGCAAGCACAACAAGGTATACCACCGCAATATTAGATGGTGGCTAAAACTCTAACAAACAAGAAAATTATTCTCGGGGTGTCATACTTGTGTTGACTATTCATAGATGTTGTTTTTTTCTGTTTGTTTGTTGTTGTTTTTTGTTCGTTCCTTTAACCGGCAGTTTATACATCAGAGCTTTCTCTTATATTCGCAAACTTGCTCTATGTTACATACACAGTTTCTTTACGTGAACGTATGATTCTAGGTTTACCAACCCCAGTTCTGGCAGTAGTACAGGGCGCTTGACAGGCCGGGTGACGGAACACTTCAAGGTTGGTAATTTATAATAATGCTTCATTTTTAAGGTTCGCGATGCATCGCAATAGTGCCGTTTCAAGCTGTCTTTGGCAATACACACCTACAATTCCTCGGAGAGCCGAGAGATAACTTATTATTGACAATATTACCGCATATACCTCTTACAAAATAGTTCTAAAGAAGGGCGGTAGCCCAGTTTTGGTTCATATGTTGGCCACTCAGATCCATGGGTAGATTATCAGATCCGTCATATATAATATAAATATTGTTGTTATACAACGGCCATACCACTCTCTTTATCTAGAATATTCAAGATACTATTCAAGCTGGGAAGTCGAAACTATTATCCGTTTTGGTATTGAAAGTTGCTGCCTTGAAAATTTAAGTAACTGGGTTGAAAATCCAAGACAGTATCTTCATAATAGTTCAATACACTGAATCTTCATAATAGTTCAATATGATCAATGTATGACGCTTAAAATCTAACTTCACGTAATATCACCCCGAATAAATAACCTGTAATGTTTGGTATGAGTAATACACCTTTACACACGACACTGAATTAATCCAGGTTTAGATTATGTTTCTTCGGTTATTTCTTTAGTGGTATGTCCTTCAATGGGTGTTTGTAGAGGGCGTGATTCGTTGTCTATAACGATTACAAACACCTGCAATATTGAAAATAGGAAATCCACTGTTACTATTTCCTTTTGTGGTAATCTTCAATCTAATCCACGTACAGAGGACACCGTGCCCTCGTTGCGATCGAATTTCCGAGAACACCCCATCGAAATAAAGTTTTCTAAAAACCAAACATATTTCACAATGAACTACAAAGTTTTAACAGTTTTGTTGTACATCCCTTCCCATAAAAACAATGTACAGATCATTTCTTCTACTGCAAAGATGGGCAATTGTTTCTTTATCTTTATGTTAACCTGATTTCTTACACGTTTACACATTATATTCCTGTCTCTCTTAAATCATTTTGGTGCCAAAACATTAATATTAAATATGGTATATTAAACAATATTTAATTTAACAGTATCAATTACAGTAAAAACCTAGCTGTAAATCCGGACAATAAGTTTGCCCTTCTAAACTAGATAAATGAACTTCCAGATTAACGGATCTTTATAAAGAGTAAATATCCTTTGGTAAATCCAACTGTAATCATCGGGGGTAGGTGCCGGACTAAAGGAGTCTGTTTTAACGAGTTTCCAATGATAGATATTTCCAAAAGAAAAACTCGAACTGTTTATAGTGTCGTAGAATAATTTTGAAACTTTTAATGTTTTTAAAAAATAAACGATTCCTCTGTTCCAGACATCCCTGGACCATATGATGACGAAGCTGAGTACAGCCAAGCCAGTGTTCGTGAGGTAAGTTGAACGACATATATACATGAATCATCATATTTGACATATGCCAGTTTAAACATAGTTCATATTCATATCCGTATGGAGTACAACACAAAACTCCTCGCAGGGTACCACCGGGATTTTAACAGTACGTGGGCGGTAATCTGACACTAGGAGAGAGCTCTCAGTATTTCAACAGATAAATGATGTCTGATGACTTCCCATACAGATTTCGGATAAGGATTATATTTTGAACACCTGTTGAGACCTCCGAGGGAGTTTATAAAGCCTTACAGTATAATTGCTACCACTCCCATATAAAGTCCTATTGAAAACTGATCAGGTATTATGTTTCTACAATGAGATGTAATCTCGCATTGACACATGTCAGCGTGGAATGTAACATATATGTATTTCTATCTGCTTGTAGATGTGTAGTTATCGTATTGAAAGGGTTTGAATTTACAGCAGGAAAGACAAATTTATAGGAAAGACAAGTATTTCATCTCTCTGCTCTCTAGTTGATAACACTGTAGTGATAATAGAATGGGGATTAAAGGGGCAGTTTTCTGAATCATATTGCAACAATAAATAGGTTTGTGGCAGACAAATGTTTGACCAAGCGTAATTACTTACTCAGGCATTTTCTCGGACATTTTGTTTTGAAACAATATTTAGTCAGTTTCTTGTCAATGTTTACAGTAGTATACCGTTATCCCGACATGTCAATAACGTAAACATGTATACGATGATTATTTCATTACGGAAATCTGTAACTTTCACAGAGAAATACTTTCTTAAACATTACCATGACCAAACTGAATTTCTTTAAACTGTTTGTATTCACATAAATTTATTCGTTTATGTGTTTTTTTGTACGTTATAATGAACATGAATTTGGAATGACAAATATCGATGTTGTATCCTGTATGATGCAGATGTATTAAACCTAACCTGGCGCTGAAACCCAACAAGTTTGACAGTGGGCTTGTCCGGGATCAGCTGCAGTGTAGTGGGCTCCTGGAGGTGGCCACTGTCCGGAAGGCAGGTTATCCTATCAGGATCCCATACATCGACTTCGCTGAAAGGTCAGTCTCTTGCATAACATCGAAATGGCAATTTGAAATTTGCAGAAATTTGACTCATTCATTTGCTGCTCAAAACCTTAGCTGAAACTAAAAGTGTAGCTGATTCAAATAATCATATGCTGCTTGTCAATACAGTGTAAATAGTTGCCATGGTTATATGTCAACAGGTATGCGGTTGTCATCGAGGACATGAAGATAGAAGGGGGTGCCATGCATCAGTCGAAGGCCATTGTTGATAAAGCCAGGATTACAGACCATCAGTTCGGCAAGACTAAGGTGTGCACTAGCTCACTATTCAGCTTCTAAAGAAGGATATTTTGTTCATATGTATAGTAGATATAACGGTATAACTGCTTTAAATCACCTGTGTTTGTCTTTATCAATGTTTCATATGCCTTCACTCCAGATGTTCCTCAAGATGTACCACAAGGATGACCTTGAGAGAATAGTCGCTCAGAAGGTAAATATCACAGCCTGATACTTTGTTGCCATGGACGAGAGGTTTATCGTATGATCAAGAAGAATTTGTGCAATGCCATTTTTTAGCAAAAGTATTTCAATCTCTCTTCAAACTCTCGGTATCTTCTTATATTAGACATCATTACATATCAACAAATATTAAGAACTTTTAGTAAGCGCCTTAATCATCTAATGAACTTTGACGTAATTTCTAAATATGTCTTGTGACGTTTTACAATAGAAAATCAAATCAGTATTTAACCGGCTAAAAAGGTTTAACCCCCGGATACTTTAAGTCTTGTGCCTTGTTTGTCAACCAAGACATTTCTTAATAATTAGGTTAGTTATTGTTAGATAGACATATTTCATGCACTTTCAGAAAGCGGAAGCAAAAATAGGTTTTTATAGCTTGTTGTAAACTTTTTTGGACTGCCAATTGCCTGAGTCGAACTTCCTCCTTAAATGGAATACAAATATTTACAGAAAGCCGAAAAAGAGGCTGCAGCAAAGGCCGCGAAAGAGGAGGAGAGAAGAAGGCGCGAAGAGGAGAAGAGGGCCAGAAATGCCCAACGGACACCTAGTGGTCAATCTACCGACATGGACACCTCCGTGTATGGCTCTTTTAAGGGAAGCACTATGCACGACACCTTCTCAGAATCAGGTGTAGGCACTGAATCCACTACCCAAGACAGTCTAGGTGACATCATGGAAGAAGAAGAAGAGGAAGAAGAGGAGAATAATGAATTGAAAAAAGCCTCATCTGAAGACAATCTCAAAGATCAACCGTATGTACCTTTAATAGTTGTAAATATTTGCCATCTCCATAACGTCTGCTTTGTCTTCCAACGTTAAATATTTACTATGTCAGTGCACTATTGTCTTTACAAACCAAGGTAAAATGGAACTCTGATTTTCCAAGCGAGAAAGTATGTTACCAGTCGCATGACTTTATGAACATTGTGGCTTTCGTCATTTTCAGATCATACATGGCGTTCCGAATGACTGAGAGGGACTTTGAGCACAATAATGACTTCGAGATGAAAGTGAGGCGAGCGTGTCGATTCATCCTGTACATCATCTTGTCCAGCACCATACTGACCACTGGCATCGCCACTGTCATCAGCGCTATCTGGATAGCTCAGGCAGATGCAAAGGTAACATGAGAACCGTTTTAAAGTGAAACGTTTTTGGATCCTGCATTGGGCTTCGTGTTCATCTTTAACTAGGGAATAACCTTAACATTTATTAACTTCCGGTGGGTCTAAATTGTCATCCCTGTAACGGTGCTTCCTTGACACAGGTTCTTACGTATATTCCTTCCATATATTCATGGATTCTCCAGGACTCCTGGACGGAGACACCTATATGAGTAGTTCAATATCAGCTGCATCATCCTCTAACTTCAGGATGTCATCATGCCACTCTGTCAGTCATCAAATACCCGTGTTTCATCTTGTAATAGCAGCTTAATATCATTTGGGGCGATGGGTAGCATAGTGGTTAAAGCGGTCGCTCTTCACGGCCCAGGGTTCGATTCCCCAGATGTGTGATGCATATTTCTGGTGTCCCCTTCCTTGATATTACTGGAGTATTGCTGAAAGTGACATTACCTACGACTAATCCATTAACTACACATGTCATCTGAGGGTTTGTCTTAGCAATATTGCACACTTCATATTGCACAGAGCACGGTATTTATATGCGGTGCCCCTTTTCCCAGCTGTTCCTGTTCTGCGAGATTGTCCTTTTTTCATGTGATCCATTGGTATATTTGTTTGTTGACTCCAGGGAGAGGACAAGTCTTACAATGGCACCATGACAATGCTGTGTCAGCTGTTCCCCGTCATCGTCATGTGGATCTCCTGTTTCATCAAGTCTTGTTTCGGAAGGAAGGAGTGGCCCACGATCCGCGCCATCATTGGGGTAAGCTTTTATGCCGTTATCAGGAATATTCCAGAAACTCTAGACTTGGACCAAACCAGTTGTTCTCATCTCCATTCTTCGGATGCCTTCAGTCATGATGACAACAACTAAATCAACGAGCGTCCCCATCCGATCATATTCAGTCACTGCTTGCAATAAACAGCAGTTTGCAGGATCTTTCTAGACTCGACCTGAAAGGTAGTGTTGTGGATAGAAAGCGTCAACGTCAGAGGACTTTCAGTGCAGATAACTGTATCGCGTTCTTGTTTGTATATACACCGAAACGTCACATGTTTGATAACGGTGATAACACCATAGATTTTCAATGATCCATTTGTTTATTATTTACCAGTACAGGATTACAGAAATGTGCGTCCACAGAGCTCACACGAATAGAATAGGCACAGAATACACCACATTAAACTTTAAACATTAAACTACATTACTTTACAAATCCATCATATTTGAAATTGAAATTAATTATTCGGGTTCCCTTTGTAATCCAACTTCAAACCATGCCACTATGTTACCGTTTGCTGGGGAATATGCATATGTTTCTCCAGATAATCAATACAGATAACTCTGGCGGGTTTTTTCTGAAAAATCTAATTTGTCTTGCCAGTTTATGTCCCCAAACAATCTATTCACAGATATTATTTTTGTGTTACAGATATGTTTCGTGGACGCCCTTCAGTGCGTGGGGAGGTCTCTCTTCCTGTATAGGGTATTACCGGGCATGTCTTCCCTCGAGGGGGGTCATTCTCAGCATGGCAGTATTACAAGTGCCCGGGTTTTTCAAAATAATGACTCACTGTTTCCAGAAAGGGAAAGCGCACGTGGATGACTTGAAAACTAAAAGAAGGAAACAAGTGAAATCTGCGTTTATCTTAATAATTTACACAGCCGCTTTTCTTGTTCAGTTGGGAGCGATCCCAGTGCTGGTGTTTAGGGACAGCATTACGGAATCCCAAACAAGCAAATACAGAACGCCTGCAGACATTTGGCCAGTGTTCGCTTTTGCTGCATTGACAACAGTTGGCTGGTGGGAAAATTATGTTTACGGCGTATTTATCTTTGGGAATAGAGATGTACATGCAGGACGATTCCGGAGGAATATTCACCGTGTGAGGGAAACCACTTTTATTTATTCCGGGCTCCTGCAAATCGTGCTGATCACCGTCCTACCGCAAGTGTGGATCTCGGAACCAGTGGATGTGTTCTCAGTGTTGGAGCAGATGTTTATAGACTACCGTATCATGTGGTACCGAGAGAATTACATGATACTTCACTTCTCCAAATTTGGTATTCTGTACATTAATATTGTCTGCACATTTATCTGTACTTACAGTTCCAGTGTAGCCTGTAGACTTCTTGTACAGAAGTTCGCTTTCGCTCTTCCGCTTGCTTATAATCCCCGTCGCTTCGGGTGTGATTGCGGGAATGTGCAAACCAACCGATAAACACCAGTTCTGGTCCAACCCTGACATCTGCGACCCAAGCTCTCTCCAGTTCGGACAAGATATGTACTTCATGTGTGCTATTGGTATAGCCTTATGGATGTCTTACCTCATATTTTCCAACCACATTTGGCAACCAGACTGCGAACGAATGGCTAAACTTGACAGGTGAGTATTTCTTACAATATTATTCATCAATCCCAGTTCATTCTGTTTTCGGGGCGGTGGGGTAGCCTAATGGTTAAAGCGTTCACTCGTCACGCTGAAGACCCGGGTTTGATTCTCCACATGGGTACAATGTGTGAAGCCCATTTCTGGTGTCCCCCGCCGTGATATTGCTGGAATATTGCTAAAAGCGGCGTAAAACCACACTCAGTCTAACTCATTCTGTTTTCAACACCAACATGTGTAGTTAATTCAATTATTTGTACTCATCTTTCAAATTTACTGATGTATTAATTATAACTGATTTATTGTTGATATTTGTTTTGTCTAAAATATCATTAATTTTATAAACTACTTCTTCCGGCATTCAATGAAAGCAAAGGCAATTCGTAATCGTTTGGTCGTACATTGTTTATTTCGTTTTATTTATTGTTTCTTTGTATGACTATCTACTTTCGGCGTTATTTTATTATTCATTACTTCGGTGCACCACCGTCACTTCTAAACTGCGGTGGGGTAGCCTAGTTGTTAAAGCCAAGACCCGGGTTCGATTACCCACATGAGTACACTGGGCGAAGCCCATTTCTGGTGTCCCCCGCCAAGATATTGCTGGAATATTCCTAAAAAGTGCGTAAAGCTAAACTCACTGACTCAGTCGAAACTGCCGAAGTAATCTGCACCTGGTCATGAGTGTGTATAAGTAAGTCGGGATGTGTTTTTCAGGTTATTCGTCTTCAACTACCGCGATGCCATCTTCCCCTACCAGAGTCTAGCAATGCTAAGACGGCAGGACAGTGAGGTGAAGAAAGAAAGACTGCACAAGGTGAAGAAGGAGGAAGAGGAGGAGACAGAGCGCCCTCTGGTGCACATCTGCGCAACGATGTGGCATGAGACAAGGCAGGAGATGGTGCAGCTGCTCAAGTCACTCTTCAGGTAAGTCGTTGTACCATCTCTCCAGGGTTAACTTTGTCAATGTTTCAAACCTATAAATGTTAACAACAACATTGAGGCCTTTACCTAATGAAGCGTTCAGTGGAATTGACAATCTGATATTCTGAGGGGAGACTGGGGTTTTGTATGGAGACTGGATATTTGTACAACTGCAGCCAAAAACAAAAATATTCTGTTATTCGAAGCCGTGACCCACAATAACATTTTAAAAAGCCTCTTATAAGAACGCTGTAGTTTATTTTCTGTCTGTTTTCGTATTATACTAATTAGAAGGACAACTTTCTCATAGTAGTTTTGTTATTACCAGAAATATCTATTGCATGTGTTTAATATTTAAATATATTGTTCTTCCCTCACAGACTAGATTTTGACAACTGCGCCAGAAGGATAGCCACTCAGAAATTCGCTGCGGATAATAACGCCATGTTGAAGGACAACTACGATGCAGAGAGTAAGTAGGAGATCCATACTGGACAAGATGTCTTCGTGTACATACACACTGGTCTGACTTAACTGCGTGACACTTAGACTATTCAGCAGACCCACGCAGACCCAATCATGGAGTTAAATATATATTTCTATATATCTATATTTAGGTCCATAATTTCAGTTATTAAAATATTTCAGATGAGAAGAAAGTACATTTGGAATATACGCGTTTATCCCACTGGGAACGATTCTTTGAACAGGTCAATTTTAAATATAAATGTTAGAAAAGTATATTTTTACTGGAACACTGAGTCTATTGTTGTGGAAAAAAACTTTAACAAAGAAGAGTAACGAAACAAATATGACTTTAACAAAGAAGAGTAGCGAAACAATTATGACTTTAACAAAGAAGAGTAGCGAAACAATTATGACTTTAACAAAGAAGAGTAACGAAACAAATATGACTTTAAGAAAGAAGAGTAGAAACAAATATGACTTTAACAAAGAAGAGTAACGAAACAAATTATGACTTTATGAAAGAAGAGTACCAAAACAAATATGACTTTATGAAAGAAGAGTAGGGAAAGAATTATAACTTTAACTATGAAGAGTAGGGAAACAAATATGACTTTAACAAAGAAGAGAGGGAAACAAGCTTTATCAAAGAAGAGAAACAATTATGACTTTAACAAAGAAGAGTAACAAAGAAAACAAATATGACTTTAACAAAGAAGAGTAGCGAAACAAATATGACTTTAACAAAGAAGAGTAAGCAAAGAAGAGTAGCGAAACAAAGATGACTTTATCAAAGAATAGTTGCAAAACAAATATGATTTTAATAAAGAAGAGAGCACCTTCCTTTGTCATCAGAGTTAGACGTATACTGTGTTAATTGCAGTTCACATCATCTTTGATGACGCATTCCTGACGGATTCGGACAGCAAACAGCGTGTGGTCAACTCCTATGTACAGCAACTGTTGGACGTTCTGCCCCAGGCTGCCCAGTAAGTGAAAACTACTGACCAATAGCAGGGTTAACTGGACACAGTGTTCCACAATCGGGATCTATTAGAGTTGAACGAAATTTACAGTGAAAAGTATTAACCACATCAGCTCACGAAACTACTATTGCATAGCACTTGTCATGGTTTCAGGTCTGTGGCCAAAGGGCGTATGGAACTGAACCCCTTTGACAAGATCATTACCCCGTACGGCGGGCGTCTGACCTTCGAGATGCCCGGGGGAACGATGTTTCATGTTCATATGAAGGACAAGGAAAAAATACGACACAAAAAGAGATGGTCACAGGTGAGCTAACTAAATCACAAAAATATGGTCTGGGTTGAACTACCAAAATCACAAAGAGAGATTGTCACAGGTGAGCTGACCACATCACAAATATATGGTCACGATCTAGCCAATGAAATCGCAGCAAGACTCATAGGTGAGTGAGCGAAATCACGAGAATATGAGAGTTAAGTCACAATATGCGAGCCAGCTAATCTAAAAAGAGATAACAAAGACTGAACAACGTTAGCAATTTCCATCATGACTAACAGTTTAATCCTGAATAATTTGCCATGGTTTAACATATTTCACTCACAGTATGTGAGACATTGCGCATGATACCGAATAGAATATAGTGAGAACGGGAAGTAAAGAGTAGAGGGTTTACATTGATTTGTATATGTATGCGACATGATATTTTAGATGTATTCACGTAGAACCTTACCCTATGTATATTAAAGAGCATTACCGTGTGTGTAAATGCCAAACACCCATCATCTTTTTTGTAACTATTTGCATAAAATGTTTAATATACCAATACAGAGGAACTTAACATATATTATTTCAATTTTAATTGACTACCACTATATGTATTCCTGATTTCACCAGATAATGTATCTGTACTACCTGCTCGGACACAAGTTGGTAGGACAGGGATATAGCACAGTGGAAGATCTCATCAAGGACAAACTTACCTCCAACAAAGCCCAGGCAAAGGAACGGAAGAAGAGGAACACGCTTCGTGTTCGGCCGTTCACGTCGTTGCTCAACAACCTACCCGACGAAGTCGTTCGTAAGGTACGTAGATCATTTTAACTTCCATCAGGAAAGGAACATCTTGCATCTTGCGAGTAACGTACCTTATCTGATACTGCTTCATACTCACGGTCGTAGCGATCGCGAAAAGATTGATTTGTGCATTTGAATCGTAATTAAACGGTCTTTGAGGTGCCATAGTTGCTACAGTCTGACCTGGGTATAATGATTGTGTGTAACAAATGTATTAAAGGGTTAATATGTTAAGCTTTGGTAAACAATCTGTCGATAACTCTACCCGGTGAAACATCTCATATTCGTAGGGTGTGACATTTGATTGGCATGTGTCAAGATGTTTTTTTAGTTGCTTAAATCGTAGCCTTTGTGCTTCTTACAGTGACGAAACTACGATTTGGTTGCGCTTTAGTTTTATTTGCATTTTTATCTTAATTTAACCGCCTCCGTGGTGTAGTGGTTAGAGCGTCCGCCCGGAGAGTGGAAGGTCGCGGGTTCGATCCCCGACAAAAAGGCGTTAAAATATAGTACTTGTTGGTCCCTGCCTGGCGCTCGGCATTAATGGGTACAACAAGGACTGGTCGGCTCGGAGTCAGTATAATGTGTCTGAGTGGGGTATTCCTGCTTCACTGCGGCATGGTATCTCAGTGGGCTAGCACTATAAAACCGGCTAGTACAAGCAGCCGCACATACACATACACACGCATGCACGTCGTCATATGAGCGAAATATTCTCAAGCACGACGATAAACCCAATTCACCTCACCTTACCTTAATTTAGTGCCAATAACAATATTGTGTAAAATGGCTTCCTTGCTACAGGAAATGGTTGCGTGACCCTCACGTTTACAGTGTACAAATTCATGATCATCACGTCACGATTAATACTCACGCTTGTCAATTAATTTTATCAATGACTGGCCAACTTGTCCTACAATATAACCGTTTTCAAAGGCTTTTTTATATTAGTCCATCCGAAGAGCGATATGGCTAAATACGAGAAAGGCAGTCTCACACTGACCAAAAGGTGACCATATATTGTGCCATTCAAATGTGGGAGTTTGTTTTAAAATGAGAAATGAAATTATGTCGAGGTATGATGTTACAACAAATTTAACCCACCTCATACATGAAGGGAACATGTTTGACATATGCTTTTCTCTCTGATATTTCTTACCGTGGATTCCCTGAAAGATGCATGATACGCATTGGCGAATCCAGAACGAGGTTGTGCAAGGTTGTGCCCCTATGAAAGATCTCTGCATGTGCGTGGGTGCGTCCGTGCGTGCGTGTGTATGTGTGTTTGTGCTGTGTACAGTTACTCTGCCCACTTAAACAAGTTCGGTTTGCCCAGTTGTTCTCACGTGATTCCAGATTAACACGCTACAACGTTGTTATGTATGATTGTTGAAACATGCAATGCACACCAGGGGCTCCTTTCACGAAGCAACCTTTACTAAGGTTAACCTGAACTCCCATTCTTTAACAAAGTAGAGTAGGGAAACAAATTTGACTTTATGAAAGAAGAGTACCAAAACAAATATGACTTTATGAAAGAAGAGTAGGGAAAGAATTATAACTTTAACTATGAAGAGTAGGGAAACAAATGTGACTTTAACAAAAAGGAGAAGGGAAACAATTATGACTTTATCAAAGAAGAGTACCGAAACAATTATGACTTTAACTATGAAGAATGGGGAAAGAAATATGACTTTAACAAAGTAGAGTAGGGAAACAAATATGACTTTAACTATGAAGAGTAGTGAAACAATTATGACTTTATCAAAGAAGAGTACCGAAACAATTATGACTTTAACAATGTACAGTAGGGAAACAAATATAACTGTTAAAAAAGTATGTTTTTACTGGAATACTGGAAAAAAACTTTATCGAAGAAGAGTAGGGAAACAATTATGACTTTCACAAAGAAAAGTAGTGAAACAAATATAACTGTAACAAAGAAGAGTAGGGAAACAATTATGACTTCATCAAAGAAGAGTAGCGAAACAATTATGACTTTAACTATGAAGAGTGGGGAAAGAAATATGACTTTAACAAAGTAGAGTAGGGAAATAAATATGACTTTATCAAAGAAGAGTAGTGAAACAAATATGACTTTAACTATGAAGAGTAATGAAACAAATATGACTTTAACAAAGAAAACCACCTTCCTTTGTCCTCAGAGTTAGACGTATACTATGTTAATTGCAGTTCACATCATCTTTGATGACGCATTCCTAACGGATCCGGAAAGCAAACAGCGTGTGGTCAACTCCTATGTACAGCAACTGTTGGACGTTCTGCCCCAGGCTGCCCAGTAAGGAAAAACTACTGACCAATAGCAGGCTTATCTCGACACAGTGTTCCACAATCGGGATCTGTTTCGCGAGAGTTGAAGAAATTTACAGTGAAAAGTATTAACCCCATCAGCATCAGCTCAGAAAACTACCATTGCATAGTACTTGTCATGGTTTCAGGTCTGTGGCCAAAGGGCGTATGGAACTGAACCCTTTTGACAACATCATTACCCCGTACGGCGGGCGTCTGACCTTCGAGATGCCCGGGGGAACGATGTTTCATGTCCATATGAAGGACAAGGAAAAAATACGACACAAAAAGAGATGGTCACAGGTGAGCTAACTAAATCACAAAATATAGTCTGGGTTGAACTACCAAAATCACTAAAGGTATGGTGGTGGGTCAGATAGAAAATCACAAAAAGGGATTGTCACAGGCAAGCTGACCACATCACAAAAATATGGTCACGATCGAGCCAACGGAATCGCAGCAGATGGTCATAGGTGAATGAGCGAAATCACAAAACTATATGAGAGTTAGGTCACAATATGTGAACCAGCTAATCAATAAAGGGATAACAAAGACTATAAACAAAGTTAGCAATTTTCGCCATGACTAACAGTTTAATCCTGAATATTTGTAAATGTGTAAATGTCAAACATCCATAACCATTTTTTAACTATTTGCATAAAATATTGAATAAACCAATACAGAGGACTTAACATATATAGAGATTATTACACGAGCAAGTGTGTCATACGACTTATACGAAATGAGTGTGAAATTTGGCTCTCGCTCGGGCAATACATACTTTCGCACGAGTTTCGTTTAAGTCGTATGGCACCCTTGCGAGCGTAATAATTTCTTTATTATCCATTTTATGTATGTACATTTGTATAGTAAAACACAGTAAGCAAGTGTGACGGTCCTGTTCATTGACGTCACGTTCAATTGTTTAATGACGTCACAGACGACGAAATACAGAAACATGACGTATTGAAAATATGACATGACTGCTGTTCCACCATATGGATAATAAATTATTTTTATTTTAATTGACTACCACTATATGTATTTCTGATTTCACCAGATAATGTATCTGTACTACCTGCTCGGGCACAAGTTAGTAGGGCAGGGATATAGCACAGTGGAAGATCTCATCAAGGACAAACTTACCTCCAGCAAAGCCCAGGCAAAGGAACGGAAGAAGAGGAACACGCTTCGTGTTCGGCCGTTCACGTCATTGCTCAACAACCTCCCCGACGAAGTCGTTCGTAAGGTGCGTAGAATATTTTAACTTCCACCAGGAAAGGTACATCTCCCAGCTTGCGAGTAACGTACTATCTGACACTACTTCATACTCACGGTCGTAGCGATCGCGAAAAGATTGATTTGTGCATTTGAATCGTAACTAAACGGTCTTTGAGGTGCCACAGATGCTACAGTCTGACCTGGGTATAATGATTGTGTGTAACAAATGTATTAAAGGGTCAATATGTTAAGCTTTGGTAAACAATCTGTCGATAACTTTACACGGTGAAACATCTCATATTCGTAGGGTGTGACATTTGCTTGGCATATGTCAAGATGGGTTTTTTTAGTTGCTTAAATCGTAGACTTTGTGCTTCTTACAGTGACGAAATTACGATTTGGTTGCGTTTTAGTTTTATTTGCTTTTTTATCTTAATTTAGTGCCAATAACAACATTGTGAAAAATTGCTTCCTTGCTACAGGAAATGGTTTCTTGACCCTCAGGTTTACGGTGTACACAACAAACTCACGATCGTCATGTTACGATTAATACTCACGCTTGTCATTTAATTTGGTCAATGACTGGCCAACTTCTCCTACAATATAACCGTTATCAAAGGGTTTTGTATAAGAGTGTGGTATGGCTAACACGAGAAAGGAAGTCTCACATTGACCAAAAGGTGACCATTTATTGTTCCATAGAAATGTGGGAGTATGTTTTAAAATGAGAAATTAAATTTATAACGAGGTAAGATGTTACAACAAATTTACTCAACTCTCTCTCTCTCTCTCTCACACATATGTACATTCCGCAGGGTGCTCTCCAAGCCGTTGTACATTTCCTTAAAATGACTCCAGCATAATCACCGTGGTCACACAACTTCGGACATATGATATACCTTATGTTCGCAACATTACAAAGTTCAAGGGATCAGTTAAAAATATTATCATATCGGAAAATCGGTATGCGGAACCGATAATGTTAATTACTATTGACCATGCGTAGGAGTTTTACATACTGAATCCTCTCTATTCAGTGTTCACCGATCAGATTCTCCTTACAATAGTACAATGGTCCCCTTCAATATCATTAGAATGGACGCCTTAATCCTTTTAACATTAAATCAATGACAAGGATGACTTGCTGTTTCATTAATCACTGTCTAGTAGCATATGCAAAGCTTCTTGTGCAGGAGCATTCTCTTGAATAATTTGATTTCATGATTTCTTGAGGTAAGGGAATACCTTCGTATACACTGGAGGAAGCCCTCGTTTTTAAAGACTGTACTGCAATACGTGCAGAAAATATTTGGTAGTTTCAGTATATCCAGATATGATTATGCAATTTTCTTTGTGGTCATATTACGGTGGGGAAATAGAAGGAAATGGTTTCGTTAGTATTTCAATTCACAGTTTCGATCATTTGAAATATGCAATGATGAACGAATACATTATATTTCCACCCCGCTCTTACCTTAAGTCATTGTAGCCGCAATCTTAGCTACAATCCAGTTCTCTTTTGTTGGTATTCCTCGTACGCATGTGCTATTTCATGCCTTTCAAAGTCAGGTTATCACCGCTATGAGCGTGGAGTGTGGAGTTTGGCGCTATATAAATGGACACGTTATTATTATTATTATTATTATTATTATTATTATTGTATCTGAAACATGCAAGATCAGTTTACGTGAGTCCTTCTCATTCTCTACATCTGGTCACAATGCAGGAATTGTTTTTCGTCGATGTTCAGGTGTCATTGATGAGATAACTCTCTTGTTATGGTATTAAACAAACGTTTTGGCTTCCTCTTCTAACGTACGTTTACCATTTACGTAAGTGAGTGAGTGAGTTTAGTTTTACGCCACACTCAGCAATATCCCAGCTATATGGCGGAAGCGACCAGTAACTGTATGGTGCTGATACACGCGTCATGCAATGGCCATGCTGATCGTAGTAATTATGTCTCCTCCTATTTGTACATTGGAAATGTCGCATATTCATTTCAGGCGGAAAATGTCTTCATAATGACACTAGATGGTGATGTTGACTTCCGGCCAGACGCCGTCCGCCTGCTCATCGAGCGGATGAAGAAGAACAAAAAGGTTGCAGCAGTTTGTGGTCGAATCCACCCAATTGGCGACGGTCCCATGGTGTGGTACCAACAGTTTGAGTATTCAGTGGGTCACTGGCTCCAAAAGGCAGCGGAACACGTGTTTGGGTGTGTCATGTGTTGTCCAGGATGCTTCAGTCTGTTCCGTGGCTCCGCCCTTATGGATGACAACGTGATGAGGATGTATGCCACAGAGCCCACGGAGGCAAGGCACTACGTCCAGTACGAGCAAGGTGGGTTTCTGTGGTGGCCAGATGATGATGATTGATGATGATGATGATGATGATGATGACTGATGATTATGATGAAGGCAGTGATGATGGTAATTGATAACTATCATGGTGGGAGGAGGGGAGGGATTGTTTATGTTACCGAGCCTACTGAAGCAAGGCACTACGTTCAGTACGAGCAGGGTAGGTTGCTGTAGTGGATAGATGATGATGATGATGATGATGATGATGATGATGGTTGATGATGAAGATGAATGCACTGATGATTGTAATTGTAATAATGACAACTATCATGGTGGGAGAAGGGGAAAGACCGTTTGTGTTACGGAGCCCACGGAAGCAAGGCACTAAGTTCAGTACGAGCAGGGTAGGTTGCTGTAGTGGTTTGTGTGTGATGATGACGGGGTGGGGGGGGGTGAAAATGGTTATGATGGTACATGTAATAGATATAATGAGAATTATCATTATTATCAGAGGTAGGGGTTGTGTATACTACGAAACACACGGAAGCAAGGTAACGTTCAGTACGAGCAGGGTGGGTTGCTGTGGTGGTTTGAGTATGATGATGATGATGATGATGATGATGATGAACTGACTGACTGACTGAGTTTAGCTTTACGCCGCTTTTAGCAATATTCCAGCAATATCATGGCGGAGGACACCAGAAAGATGATGATGAAAGTGGTGATAACAGTAATTTTGATAATGAGAATGATCATTGATATCTGATGTAGGGTTAGTTTACGAAAAAGTAAGTTATTTCTGACAAATTACATTACACAGGTGAGGACAGGTGGCTGTGTACTCTCCTTCTTCAACAAGGATGGAAAATTGACTATTGTGCTGGTTCAGACGCCTTCACATACGCCCCTGAAACCTTCAACGACTTCTACATCCAGCGTCGACGTTGGTCTCCCTCCACAATGGCCAACATCATGGATCTGCTGGGCTCCTGGCGGACAACAGTTCAGATGAACGACAACATCAGCACACTCTTCATGGGCTACCAATTCTTCCTGATGGCCTCAAGCATCGTCGCCCCTGGCACAGTGGTCTTCATGATAGCTGGATCTTACAACGCTGTTTTGGGTGTGAATATGTGGCAAGGCTATCTGATGTCAGTTCTTCCAGTGCTTGCCTATATTCTCCTCTGTCTCAAGGCAAAGACCAGCACTCAGGTTCAAGTGGCCGCAGTGATGTCTGCCCTCTATGCTATCGTCATGATGATAGTCACAGTTGGAACTCTTATCAACATAGTCAACGAAAACTTCTTCACGCCCAATGTTCTTTTCATGGTCGGACTGTCAGTTGTGTTTGTCATCACTGGTATTATTCATCCTAAGGAGTTCATGTGCCTGTTCCATGGTATCCTGTATTATCTGACAGTGCCTTCAACATTTGTCTTCTTGACTGTGTTTTTCTTGTGCAATCTGAATGTTGTCTCCTGGGGCACACGAGAAGGACCTAAGAAGGTGGACCCAGTGGAAGAAGAGCTCCAGCTGCAAGAGGCTAAGAAAGGAAAGATCAGAAAGTTCCTCGATTCATTGGGCATTGCATCACTTATAGAAGACGTGAAATCCTTCATGTTTCAAATCATTGGTTCAAAAAATGAGAGGGCAACTCCTTTGCAAGGTCTCACACCACAGACATCAACAACCAACCTGAACAAAATTGAGGCAGCAAGGCCATCGCGACCGGTGAAGAAGGAAAAGGAGAAAAAGGTCATTCAGGACCCAACATACTGGATAAAAGCACTGGATGTTGACTCCAAGAAAAGTGAACCGAAATACCTTGACGAAAATGAAGTTCGTTTTTGGAAAAATATCATCAACGAATTTCTTCTTCCCATGAAGTCCAATAAAGAACAACAGGAGAAGATAAAGGCTGATCTTCTTTCTGCAAGGAACAATGTTGTGTTCGCCTACTTCCTCCTCAACTTGATGTTTACTCTGGTCATCCTCCAGCTTCAACTTAAGCAGGATCTTCTCAAGGAGACATTCTTCATCGATGGGAAATATGAGCCCGTGTCTGTGGTTTTCCTCAGCTCCTTCACCCTCCTGCTCTTGATCCAGTTCACCGGCTCCGTCGCCCATCAGTGGGGAACATTCCTGCATCTGATTGCCAGCACAAGAATCAATTGGTTCAGGGCAAATGATGATGAACGCAAAGCCGTTGAAGCTATTAAGGAGGTTCAGAAGCTTCAGACACCTTTTGTGGGTGCTGATGACCTACTGCCGGACTACGACGACGATGATGATGACTACGATTTCTCCGTGAACTCCAGGAGAGAGTCGTTAGCAGGTGCGGAGGAACCAGATTACCCAAGTGATGACGATGAACCTGCTCCCCATGTGTCCCAGTATGAAAGGAACTTTCAGAGGAATTTTAGAACTGTTCGAAGACATTTTAATCACAATACGCGATACCATCCAAGACCTCAGATACCAACTGTGTCGCGTAATTATAGAGACTATGCCTTCCAAAGGCGTCAAGACTTATATCGAAGCATTGGGAGAAGCAGTCCACGCGAGGAATATACCAACCATGCTTACATTGTGTGAAATCACCATCCGTTTGTGTAACCTTAAACACGACATTATTATTTATTTCTCAGTTGTTGTGAGAGTTGTTGTTTTATTGTAATGGTGGCTGATGGGTGGGAGGACTATCACTGCAGTGACAATCATATTCGGATTACAAATGAACGTTCATGGCCTGAATCATATGTTAATGATGAATGTGAATCATATGTTATTTTACCACTGTAAATAGGATTGTTTACTGATGCTGATTATTGTTAAAGAGTAACTATGACGTAATGTCTCGTGCCTGTTTCCAGACAAGGCCAAAACATTGTTATTAAAGTCCCGTTTGAGTGAGTGAGTTGAGTTTTATGCTGCGTTCAGCAATATTTCAGTTACACAGCGGCTGTGGCATCAGAAAGGGTCAGATTCTTGGTTATAGGAGTAACATACTCAGAACAGTCTTCATGCTGTAGATTAAGAATTATTAAGATACTCGTGAGTGAATTCAAAGTGGAACTGTACATAGATTGAACTTATTGAAACGCAATGTCCATCACAAACAGGTTTAAGTAATAGTTATGGTTGTATTTATCTCTCATAACAAATATGTATCAAGGGGAGAGGCATTTCATGCTAATGTTCCGGTTTATTGTTAGTTTTCAGCAACCCAATCTTGTCGTAAAAGGCGAGTAACGGGATCAGCTCATCAGGTCCGCTGACTTTGTTGAGGCGTGTAACTGTATCCTAGTTGAGTATAGCGGTGCTCATGACGTCAACCACTGGAATGTCCAATCCAATTTCGACCGGCGTCACAAAGCAACAAAAACAAGAGAGACAAAAATGATTATCAGTGATCATAATCACATCATGTCTCTACTTGTCTTGTGATATAACCACAAAACTGTATATACATACATCATTCTTATTAGCTGTCTATACATACATCATCCTTATTATTGTTTAACCATCTACAACAATTCATTAATGAATACTGCTCAGATATTTACGTTGTCACTGTGTGTCGATTTGTGTCTTTAAGGTTTGCGGGAAGCTATGCGCAAACACATTTCGGCAATAACATCTATGCAAGGCAATATGGTCCTTTTATTTACAAGTTGAAAGGGTACTTTGTTAATTGTGTCCAACGACCACTATAACAAAAGTATTTATCGTTTGTGACACGCCCTGCAATAACATATATACTGATGTATCGTACAAGATTAAAGGAATTTTGAAAAGGTCACTTCACATTGTCTATTTTCGGTCTTAATTAATCCCTGGGTATATATAATATTCACAAAATACAGTAAAAACGGTAATATTTCATTATACAGCTTGTATTAGGAATCTAAAACGCACCTCCCTGGAAAGCATTTTGCGATTACGCAAGATAATGAGGTAGCTGGTCACGTGGTCGCGTGACGTCATACCCGAGAGTCGCTACATCAACACACGGAAAATACAGTGGTGCAGACCCTGTTCGCTTACTGAGATCTGCTTCTAGTTTAGCAATTAAATCAATCCACGAAGTCAAACCTAGATTTGGATGGCATACTAGATACAGATAAAGGGAAACTGATTTGTATGGATAGTCAACTTCTTTATTGCAATGAGTGCGACGTTTCGGTGTAGGTACTAACACCGTTATCAAGCAAGTGATACGACAACTGAAGCAAGGAGAATATATACATAGCTGTATAGTGAGTATATACAATTAACTAGGTTGATGTACATTGGATATTTGATAAGTGATTACAGTAGAGGAGGTTGATGTACAGAGTGATTGATTGTGATTAGAGTTGAGTTTATACAATTGATGAGTTGACGTACAATAGCTGTGATTACAAGCACAAAGGAGGGAGCATGGAAGCCAGATGGACAAAGGAGGTAGGGAAGGATTACTGGTGGTGGTCTTTGATTAGGTGGTGATAGGCTGACGAGATGAAATAACCTTGATCTCGATTCATGGTGGGGTTGTGGCGTTGGATGTTTATGGCTTCAAGGAGTTTCCTAATTTTGTAGTCTTGTCGGTTGGTTTCTAGGATATCGATGTTGTTCCATAGGATGGCATGGTCAGGGTTGGCTTGGGTGTGGTCAGCTATGGCGGATTTGGAGTCGTTTTTCTGGACTGACGCTTTATGTTCCTTGATTCGTAGTGGGAGCGGGCGGGATGTTTCACCAATATAGAAGTCTCCGCATTGACAACGAATCTGGTAGACTACTCCCGAGGGGTCATCTTTTGTTGTTGACGGTGGTTTGCCTGTGGCTTGGAGGAGGTTCTGGATAGATTTGCCTTTTTGGAACAGGACGTCTATGCTTGCTTGCTGCTGAAGGAGTCGTCTTATCTGGTGGCTGACTGCTGGGACATACGGGATGCTTATTACAAAGGGTGCTGATTGCCGGCGGGGTGGTTTATCTCTTGGGTTGAGGGTGGTTGTGATGATATTGTTGACTAGTTTCTGGGGGTACTGGTTATAACGGACGAAGACATGGCGGATGTGGTTAAGTTCGGTTTCTAGGGCTTCCGTTGTCGAGCAGATGTTCTTAGCTCTCCGGGTGAGAGTGGATATGATGCCTTTCTTAACCTGTAGCGGGTGGTTGGAGGTAAAGTGAAGGTATTGGTCGGTATGGGTGGGTTTCCTCTAGACAGTAGTGGAGAGCTTGTTGTCTTCTTTCTTTACTAGGACGTCGAGGAAAGGGAGCTTGTTGTCAGATTCTTCTTCCATTGTGAACTGCATACGGGGATGTTGGGAATTCAGGTGGTTGAGGAGGTGTTCAGGGTTGTCGTTGGGGTTGAGAACTACAAAGGTGTCATCTACTTTTCTATACCAGCAAATTGGTGCAATGGGTGATGTCAGCAGGGCCTTGTCTTCTAGTTCCGTCATGTATATCTCAGTGATGATAGGGGAGAGAGGAGAACCCATGGGTAGCCTGGTAAATCTTATCTGACCAGGTAAAGTAGGTTGAGCTGATGCAGGAGTTGATGAGGCGGATTATACTATCAATGCTGAGGTGGGTGTCTAGGTCAGGGTGGAGGTCTTGGAGTCTTTTCCGAATAATGGTAAGGGCTTCCTCTCTGGGTCTACGACGTCATAGCTAATTAGTTTGCCAGGCTGGGTGATTGAGCTGATCTTGGTGCAGAATTCGGCGGAGTCGGAGACAAAGGATGTGGCTGATTTACCAAGGGGGGCGAGGAGACGGGCACTGTGTTGGGCGGTGTTGTAGTGGACGGTGTTTCTGGAGCAGACTAGTAGGCGGGCCTTGATGGGGTCTTTGTGTATTTTAATGGTAGCGCGGGCATAGACCACCACCAGTAATCCTTCCCTACCTCCTTTGTCCATCTGGCTTCCATGCTCCCTCCTTTGTGTTTGTAATCACAACTATTGTACGTCAACTCATCAATTGTATAAACTCAACTCTAATCACAATCAATCACTCTGTACATCAACCTCCTCTGCTGTAATCACTTATCAGATATCCAATGTGCATCAACCTAGTTAATTGTATATACTCACTATACAGCTATGTATATATTCTCCTTGCTTCAGTTGTTGTATCACTTGCTTGATAACGGTGTTAGTACCTACACCGAAACGTCGCACTCATTGCAATAAAGAAGTTGACTATCCATACAAATCAGTTTCCCTTCATCTTCACAACTTCTAAAATGCCTCTCAAAGAAAATAGATACAGATAATATCACATACATGCAACATTTTCAATTTCAAAGTATTTCTAGCGGCAAGACCGAGAGGAATATTAACGACGATTCCACCAGTTGACAACATACAGCCGTGGGACGATCCCGACCATGACTATGTTTTGAATAGAGCTACTGCAGACTGGTATGCAAGCCACTTGCCTATCACATGTTCATGGAAAACTGATAGATAATGAATTAATGTTTCCGCGGTCACGGTAACATTTGCAGTCATGATAACGGCAATGTTCGATCAATGTGTTGAGCCTGTCTTCCGGTATACATCAGTATGGGAAGGTAAACACTGAAATAGGTACGTTCAAGGTTCATGATTTTATGAAGGTTATTAAGTAACTTTCAGCTTTATTTCATAAAATGCGTCTTCTGCTAAATTTGTCCGTAAAGGATTAAGTATGGTGATGAAATACGTACCGTTACGGAAGTCGATAAGTTCAATCTCACTACTGTATACAGTACAGAAGTACCCTAAATTCGTCAGTATATGTTTTCGGAGAAGTCGGTGTATCGTCTCTGATATGGTGCATCAAACATCAGGTTTATTACATTTTCGATTTCCATTCACGTGTAAAGCATCGGTTATTTGTCGTGATACTTAGTCATATAAATCTGCAAAATATACATAAAATGATAAAGACCTGTAACCCCCTTAACAGCTGATAATAGATATAATAAATATATATAGATGAAAAAATAGAACTGACAAATCTTTATCTATCTCTTTAACTGTCAGCTAGTGAAAAAGAAAATTCTTCATTGTGTTCTAGTAGTAATGCGTAAAGTGTGATCAGTCCCAAAGAAAGACGATCGATCAAATCAAGAAAGCAGCACACAAAAATTAAAGCAAATAATTTATTTGCATACAAACTGTTTATGACAAATTAATGAATACAGTGTGTACACCAACATCATGAAGGCAAAGACTTGCGTGTAAATTATAATTAACTGGATGGACTTGTAAAAACCTAAGAAAACAAGATTGATCTCCAATAACACCATGTGACACAGTGGTGACTGCAATTGGGAAACATTTACCATCTGGGGCTCCTTTCACGAAGCAACCTTTACTAAGGTTAACCTTATCTCCCATTCTTTAACATTGTACTAAGGTTACCTTAGTGACTTACGATCATCTTAGTGCTTTGTGAAAGGAGGCCCTGAACAAGTCCCAGGATTCAAACAGACGAATACAATAGACCTTAAGACATCAGGCACAACTGGTTTCAGTTCACACCCTAGACACATAACATGATTTCATTTTATATCTTAATGTCAGTGAATTCACCAGTTCCTGTTTACTAGTTTTAATGAAAGTGTCTGGCAGAATATCCAGGAAAAATAGGCTGTTGTGTCATGCAAGGCTGTAGGAAGTAAACATGTTTCTTCTCTCGAGAATGGCCCTGAATAGGAATTCCACAAACTCTGTGAATAAATTAGAGACATTTTGTAACACAATATATATTTTTTGTTTTGGCAACCATAATAATAATTTTCTTTGAAATCTGCACTAAAAAAGTAAGTACTTTTGTCTTGCTGAGAGGGAAAATAGACATGATTAAAAACCAGTGTCTTTGCAAATAAGACTTAGTGTTGACTCATTAGTTAGGGAAAAACATGCAGTAATAGGAACAGTGTGGGTTTTTTCAAACTGGAGTGCACCAGTTCAACAAAAGATTAATGATTGTCTGAATTATATTTACCATGTGTTGGTTTCTTGTTCACTGGCTTGGCCTCT